GGAGGAACCCAGGGCCCACAGCACCAGTGTAGGATCTGACATTGGGCCCAAAGATTTCATCCTGATATCTAACTGCCAGTTGAGCGCCACAGTGCCTTGCAGTGAGCACAGGGCCTACTAAAGGGGCCACAGGCCACACTCATAGAATAACCGCCTGTCTCCTGGAATCTCCACTCTTCAGGCTGTGCTGGGAGCCACAGCCAACTTTCAAGGAATGACGTGTGGACGACCAGTGCAGGGTCCAGGTAATCACCTCATGTTATCAGTAGTGACACTGAAATGCAAAACTAGTGAAAAACATTCAAAAAGATGAGGAGGGAGAAAAATGTCTTCTCATTACCCCTCTAGTGCACCTGATGATTCATTAACACAAAGCAGCAGAAATTGATTAAAAAGTGCTAATTTTTTCGAGCAGTGTATGAGACGTTTTCACAATTCTTTTATTAACATACAAAATCTTTTTTTTTTATATAGTTTTTCCATTTGCTTCTAGATAACTAGATGTTACCTGGGTCATAAGTAGGAGGAGGAGGTGGGGGCAATGGTCCTCCATCTTTTATGACCTGACCGAGGTTCTTTGCAGCCCGGATAGTGGCGATGAAGTCCTCGTGTTTCTTACGCCAATTTGACGACTTCTTCGGGGGTTCTGCCTAACACGACAACAACATGAGAAAAGAGATTCTCTGTTACAGCTGTTTGCTGCTATAGTTTGACAATCTAATATTAAGAAAATACGATTAAACTACTATCTTACCGAATGTTTTAACTCGACAGGTTTCACAGCGAAGATGTAAAGATTGCACACGCTTATCTAAGCCTGCACTTCCCACTCTTACCCTAAAAAACCCCCAACAACTATGTTTCCATAACAAAAGTACAAGTCTTATCTAAAGTTGATGATTAGCGACAGAAAGAGTTCAGTGAGTTCAGTTGTCTAAAGTGGATCTGAGGCAACACGACAGCCTCTGTGACTTTCTATTTCTCCTGTGTAGCATTCAGACACGTTTGTCTGACAAACACAGGTGACTTGGAGAGAGCTAAAACTACATTTTATTATATTTTCCTCTTTCCTAAACTGCTGCCAAAGAAAAACTAAACAAAACAGAATTTGTCACATAACTAGACGTTTGTCCTGTTCATATCACAAAGCTGAAAATTCCAGTGGGAGCACAAAGTGAGTACGCAGGAGTTAGTTGAAGCCAAGAACATCTGAACAACAGCCAGGCAACAGACTGGGCAAGATTACTTAACTGACTGATACTCATGAGACAGTTTCTCACAGAGAAGAAATAAATGAAACAAATACAGTTTTTAGTTGTTAAAGAGTAATCTGAACGTTCAAAGCAACCGCAGCAGCTGAACTAGAAAATATAGCATTAAGGCTGTCACGTTAAATGAAAGAAAAGAACACTGGATACAGAAGGATGTCAGTTAAAGACAAGAGGTATGAAAGGATTTTTAAAATTAATATCACCAACATGACTTGGCACACCCACAGACTATTCAAGCCAATACTTCAAGGCAAACAAAGTATTTGTGTAGCCAGAAAAACAGTGAGGGAAAGCCTCGCGGGCTTCAACAGATTATCTGTGCTGCTAAAAATTATATCTATGGAAAGTAGGGACAATTGAACAAAAAAAAAAAAGATAAAAGCAACTTACTCTTTCAGTACCAGATGAACTTTGTGACTGAAATACAATTGAAAGTTGTTTACATTGTAAAAATAAACTGTCGACATAAAACACTGAATGTGCTGCATGGAAATGAAAATTCATAGGAGCCACTCAACACTGTAAGCGCCATAATGCCGTGTACATTTCAAAGGCTGATTCTTTTCTCGGTCCTCCCTGGAAAGCCTTCACGTGATCCGGATTATACAAGGTTTATCTGGATAACTTGTTTGCAGAGTAATATAGTTTTCGGATAATTAAGGAATATGAACAGCATTGTTTCCTTTAGGCGTTGTATTATTGGATACAACGCTGAATAAATAACCTCAGATTAAAAACAGGTCATTTTTTAATAATAAAAGCTGGACGTATTTATGAATGAATAGATTACCTAAAAAATGAACAACAGTGTTTTAAGCAGCATGTGAAATCAAGCTTGTTTTCTGACTTTAGGCATTTTTTTTCCAATCCTGTCAATAGTCAAAATGAACCACTGCTGACAATTTATGTGGATTTCCATCACTCTGCATAGGTGAAGGCTTACCTTTGGTTTGATGGGTTTCAGTACGGGGATGTCTGTTCCCTCAGCTCTTTGTCTGCTGGAGTCAAAAACCTTCCTCTTTTTAGCTGCTGATTTTTGGCAGATTTTTGAGTGCTTCTCCTGTTGGAGGAGGACAACGTGCACAAAACATGACAAAACATTTTTATTTGTTTTTAACACCACTGGCATCACTTAAGATTTGTATCTGTCTTTTACTATAATTTAAGTTTTCAACTATGTTTTCCTAAATTAATTTCTTGTAAGAGGAGGAAACTTTCTTTCAAGCATTTCAAGCTCAAATTTAAATGAGTAACATTAACAACACCAGTAACCTCCTCAAAGCTGTAGCCAACTCTCTGAAGCACACTCTGAAGATATTGCTATACATATCTAGAATAATACACCATGCTTTAATGCAGCCATTATCTACTAATGAGGCAAAGTGCTTGCATAAGAGCACATATTTGGTTGTTTACCAGAAGATTCTCTTCAAATTAAACACCAAAAACCTTTATAGCTTTGATGTATTAACTCTGTAGTACGTTTTAGTCATTTCAACACAATAAGCAAAGGAACAGAGGATTTTTGGGGAGTAAAAATCAACTCATATACACTCATTAGCGACTCTGTTAGGTACACATTAGTACCAGGTTGAACCCACTCTGCTGGAAGCATAATGACGTGCCATGTTATAAACAGAATATCAGAACATGTCATGTTATCAGTAGATAGGTACACTGTGGTAATAAAGATCAGGAACAACACTCAGGCTGTATCAAAACTATGCTATCCTCCACACCATTACCAGCAACCTGAACTGCTGATACAAGGCAGGATTGATCCATGCTTTCATGCTGTTTACATCAAATTATGAACCTGCCATCCAAATGGTGCATCAAAAACTCGTGAGACCAGACAACACTTTTTTGCAAATTGTAGCCTTAGTTTCCTGTTCTCAGTTGATAAGTGTGGCACCTGGTGTGATCTTCTGCTGTTGCAGCCCATATCTGAATGTGCTTGTGCTCTGAACACAGAAGAGTATTCAAAGATGCTCTTCTGTGTGCCTTTGTTGTAACAAGCAGCTATTTTAGTTAGTGATGCCTTCCTATCCGGTTGAAGCAGCTGGGCCTTTCCCCTTTGATATCTGACATCAACGAGGCATTTTGACCCAGATAACTGCCATTCTGTGAATATTTTCTTTTTTTCCTGTCAATTCTCTGTAAGCCCAAGAGATGGTTATATGAGAAAATCCCAGTAGATCAGCAGTTTCCGAAATACACAGATGTGTCTATCTGTCACCCATAACCATGACTCAACACCACAGTCTTTTCGCCTATGATGATGATAATAATAATAATAATAATGGATTGCATTTATATAGCGCTATGACACCACCCCTACCTGCATGTGCTGCAGACAGTGCTGAGAGTACTGTATTGCTGAACACCAATATTTCCAACTCCACTTTATGGGAGAACAGTACTACTAGAGACGTTTCTTAGTGAAATTTTTGAATCAGAGTCTTGAATATCACAAATTTGTTCAAACAAAAAGCATTTCTGCTTTGATAAAACTTTCAACTCCCCTACAGAGCTCTTCACAGGACCCTGC